TCCGAGGTGTACAAGTGCCGGAATTGTGGAACTGTAATGGATCGAGATGAAAATGGCGCTCGGGGAATCTTTCTCCCGAGGATCATGCAGGAAATAATAGTGATGCCTACTATAGATATGTTACAATCCATCCGGAGTCTTAACAATTTTATGAAGACACGAGGAACTGTTTCTTGTAATCCACTTCATGTGTAATTACAATTATTTCGTGCGTAATCGTTTGGCTGCTCCCCAACATCACGTTTTCCCAAAGTTTCGCTTGATGAATCGTCACTCTGTTAGCCCTAATAAATTCATCTTATGTGCAGCTTTTCTTTAGTTGGTCGAAGTATAGTGAAACAATACTTGTGAATTATCGCATTTATTGGACGACGCGTTCATACAACATCCGGTCCCCAAAGTATTTGTTCACAGAATCTTACTGAATTTTCGTTCCTATTTCTTGTAGACATTGACAAGGAAGTCAGATATAAGTGGTAAGCTCAATATCCTCTTTATTCGGGTAAGTAATAGTCTCAGTTTCTATCATAATAAGCTCGTAGTAAAATATGCGATAACCGTACAGGCTATTGTTTGTACAGCAAACGAAATCCATTTTCTTAACCACTTTTTGAATGATATTTATGTAGACAATGAATTGTTTCAATGCTCCAACCATAAACGAGTTAATCATCAGGCGGGACACAAAAGAAAATTCGAAGGCAATTGGGCCATATCTAACTACAAATTCACTGTTATGCAACATCGTATTGGTCATTCAAAGAAGATATTAAAACTATCTATACCATATTGACAAAATTGATTTAGCTTCGTGAAATATAACTTTTCATTGGTTTTCATTCCTGAACCTTTTGTCGTGTTTACCTAAAGCAATTCACGTGACCGACTTATTTGCACCTTCCACAACGACTGCAAATCAATTACATCGTCAGTATGCTTCATTTCTTTAATTCTTTACTCTCTTCCTTAACTTCTTTACTTTCTTCCTTTTTATCATCTTCAACCTGTCCGACAATTTCTCCTTTCAGATTCTCAATCTTGTTATTAATCAGATTATGCAAAGCAATGACTGCTCGAATGAGAGAACTCAGATATATAACCAATAACTGATCATTAGTCTTTACAGAGAAAGACTTCACAGTTTCATTTACATTGAGATTAGGTAATAAGTTGAATATATCTTGAAGATTGTAAATAATCTGATGATTGACCGGAAGTTTGCCGTCGACTACTTTCTGGAGATAGTGTCTAATCTCTTCTAGGCGAGATTGGAGTCCCTTGACTGAGTTCAGCTGATCAGTTACTCGAGTGGAGAGTGTACCAACTGCATTGTCCTTGATGTCACGAAGCAAATGCTCAACGCCTATTTCTTCTGCTTCTTCTGCTTCAATTTGAGATGGGACGTGCATAAAAGTTTTCGTTGTCGCTGTACCATCCTAGATAAAAAAGTATTATTATGAATCGCAGAGGTAGCATAATATACCAAGTAACAGATTGCGCATGCTTACATCTTTAATTTCCTCTATAGCAAAATACGCGTCTGTTGGGATGCCAATGTCCTTTGGTTTTACATCAACAATCACAAGAACGGGGTTCGGTGTATATTTCTTGAAAAGTTCATTGATTTCCAAATCAGATGCACGAAGTTTAGGGCCACTATGATACCAACCAATCATTTTCTCTCGTGCTTTTAGAACAAGTAATGAAGCATATCATAGGATCAGATCGAAAGATGAGATTGAATGTAGATGCAGTAATCAAAGTCTTATTAGTAACATTTACCTTACCATTCACTTTCTTGAACATATCATTCATCGATTCAACGTAATCATGATCCAAAAACCAAACAGATGGATCGTTTTCGTCTTCCTCAAATGGCACTAATCAAGCAGAAACGTCAACACAAAAGTGAACAATCTTTAACGTCCTAATCAATTCGACTATTCCATTTAATTTCCAACTCGTTAACATGATCTTTCATACTCACCAGCAAAACTATTGGCCACATTCACGGTCTTGCCATTATTCTGTCCGAGCAAGACGCCAACGACTCGGTTTGTCGTCTTTTCTGCAACTCTATTATAATGGTCAACTACTGACAATAACACCAAAGGGTGAACAATTACTACAGTGTTTTGGGAAATTGGCGTAGCCGTTGGCATTTCAGTGGTGTAATCGAGAAGAAAGTGTTAAAAGATGTAATAAAATTTCACAAGGGGGTTACGTAAACACTTGCTTTACACAATTTTGAAAAATTGCCATATCTGACGTTATCATTCATTTAATCCTAAAAAATTCCCTTTTATTCAGGAATGGAGTCCACATTATACATAAGGGATCACCCTGGTAGAAGCGTTGCCTTGCATTCAAACCATATAACTAATTTGGTCAGAAAGCAGTTTTTAGTGTTTGAGAAGGGAAGAGGACTTGATTCGAACAGACCACAATGTAATGTAAAGTTGTTGAATGGAAGGGAATTTAACAAACTGAACTATAGGAGAGCGATTGCTAAATCAGTATATGGATGTCTGGGACTGCTGCAAGTCGAAGATGGTAAGTAGTGGTTGCATATACGTCGAACGACTGGATTATGATAAGTTTGGTGAGATCAAGAGAGAATTAATGACTTTTTTCCTTTCCGCCTGATAGACATGTTTATTGAAGTGGTGACTGATTGCGAGCCTGTAGGCTATGTTAGTCCGGGAGAATCAGTCCATCGCATTCTGGACGTGGAATTCTATTCACTTACGAATGATTTTTGGGATAATAAGCCTAAATCATACACAGATGAGAATGGATTTCATGTAACCCATCCATGTGCCTCTTTGAAAAAGCTTCTGTCGAATGGTCGCTTTTACTTTTCGTCGGATTTTGATTTAACACGCACTCTACAAGCGAGGTCAGTCTTATTTTGGTGTGCCAGATAAATGACTTAGACATCATCTTATAACACCTCGGCATTTATGTAGGAGAGGAGAGGCATATATTGACAAATATCTATTTGATGAACATTTTTTATGGAATAAGTTTATGATTAATGAACTATTGGGATTTAGAGTAAAGCTGGAAGAAAGGGACAAAGGAGAGATGGATAATTGTGGATTTTTGGTAATTACTTGGGATTTGCGTGAGTTATCCTGACACAGATATGAACTGACGCGTTGTTTTAATATAGGTATTGACTATACAAGGATATGTTGGTATACTGTCGCCCAGAACACATGATGAACATGTGTCAATAGCTCTAATATCAAAGTTAAGCTGTAAGCGCGCTGGTAAATACTAATTTGAGGCGCAGTTTTTATAACGTAATTGTGCTAACGACAGGATCTGCTAGGAACTAGGTTCATTACGCGAGGAATAGATGATGATGGGAATGTTGCTAATTTCGTAGAAGTATGTCGAATTTTGGTATTAAACAACTTCCTGTACTGATTAACATTGTGACTAGCTAACTTGCCAAATGAATAGACGGAAACCATAATGCATGTAGCCAAATGGTCTCTATCATACACTCAAGTACGTGGGAGCATTCCGATATTTTGGGAGCAACAGGTAATTGAAATTGATCAAATTGAACATTAATTAGCGCCGTATTACTTTATTAATGAGTAACAAAAGTCTTATTATCCGTCAATGCACATGTATTAAGGGCCTCCAATTCACCACGCATAAACTCCAAGTCACGCGTAGTCCTGCTGCAACACATCCAGCTTTCCAGCGTCATTTCAGTGAACTTTGTCATCGTTACGGAAATGTTCACTGTATAAACCTAGTCTCTCAGAAAGGAAGTGAGGAGATTTTAAGCAGAAAATACAACAATCAAATAGCTGAATTGAGGCAAACCGAGGGCCGGATTAATTTTAGTAATTTTGACTTCCATGCCATGTGTAAAAATGGAAGCTATGAGAACATAGAGATTCTGATTAATATGATACGAGACGATTTGGAGGATATGGGTTACTTTCTGTGGGATGGGGAGGGTAGGATACCTACGCTGATGCAAAGTGGAGCATTTCGTACTAACTGTATTGACTGGTAAGGTTAATTAAGCAATGTCATCTGTTTAACTATATGGAAGAGTTGCTGTTAACACTTTTTAATTTACTGTAAATAGCTTGGACAGGTTTGTTATATATGTTTGTGAATGTAATTAACGATTAATGTGCTGAGTTTATTTTAAAAATTTTTTATAGAACCAACGTTATACAGTGTGAAGTTTCAAAAAGAGTAATACAAAATTATCTTGCCCAAATTTCATACGTCAGCAATTACGAGCTGCAATTCCTCTTTGATCGACATTCGTTTCTCTGGGCTGAGAACGGTGACAGTCTTTCCAAGATATATGCTGGCACTGGGGCGCTAAAGACTGATTATACGCGCAGTGGGAAGCTTACTCTTACCAGTACGTTTTTAGTCACGGAAGAATATCCATTGTCTAAATATACCAGACTAATAAAAGTTGGCCTTAGGTCTTGTTAATGACGCTACAAAGAGTGTGAATAGGTTTTATATTAATAACTTCGCCGATAAGTCGAAACAAGAAGTCATTGATCTTTTGCTAGTACGTATAAATTCAATCAGTCGTTGATGTCTTATGTTCTACTTGTAAAGACTAACAAATAATTATAGGGTAAGGCTAAGTATCAAAAGCCTATCATTATTCATGATCCAATACAGGAACTCGTGATTGAGCAAATACAAAAGAGGTGCTTTTCCATGTCATGCTATCTTTTACAATCTACAAATGTCATCTGATGAATACTAACATTGTTGTGTTGACAGATTACATGATTTCTCTACAACATCTGTAATAAATGTGATTGTCAGCACATATAATCTGAACGGCAAGCTACCTTCACGAGAGCCTCTTGATAATTGGCTATTCGCATTTGGTGGTGGTTAGTGGATGCATTGAAGAAAAAAATTCCCCCATCGTCTTTTTGGTAACACATAATTGTATTAGCGCCAAATTTATACGTTATTGGATTCCAAGAAATTGTCGAACTAGGGCCCCAACAGGTAGATAGAGCATTGATGTCCAACTGGCTCATCATCAGAATTCAGCTAATACCAATGTCTTTGTTTTCTGATGCTAGATAGTATCAGCTGACCCCGAGAAACTGTAGGTTCATGCTACTAATGCGGAAATCTCTTCTTACCATTAAAATTTACCTATCTCTTTCCTGTGTTAGCGTCGAATGGGAAAAGGCGATAAGCAACACGTTAGATAGACATCCAAGTAGACATAAATATATTTTGCTACGATCTAGTCAACTAGTTGGCACAGCTTTAATCATATATGCAAGAGCTGACATAGTTCCTGCAATAAGGAATATTGAAGGAGCCATCAAGAAGGTAAATGGATCAAATATAATGAAGAATGATAGCGACACTTCTGATATAACTTCTTACATCCTTAAATAATACAGACAGGCTTGGGAGGAATGGCTGGAAACAAAGGGGCTGTTGCTATAAGGATGGATTATTATGATACTAATCTGTGCTTTGTTACTGCCCACTTTTTTGCTGGTATGAACTGCGTCCATGTTGCTGTTTTATTATTTTCTATTCGGGTTTTAGGTTAGATATGAAATCGTTATCTTTATTCGTAGGACATTCCAATGTCGCCGAACGCAACAGGGATTTCAACACTATTAATAGTGGATTAACTTTTAAAAAAGGTCGTCTTGCTGAACTCAGGTATAAAGAATTTATGCGACTTAATTGTCTTCGTCGACTTGGATTCTTATACAGCATACTTTGTTTGCAAGGAACGTGATATGGTTTGGCGATCTTAATTATAGAATCGACCTGCCTAACGATGAGGTCAGTTAATAAAAAACTGGTGTGTTATGTAAGGATAAACGATCATAGCGCAAGTTGATTGTTCGATAGGTTCGAAGTCTTGCAGCCATGGGCAACCTCGACGCGTTATTGAGATCAGATCAGGTAACGTTCACGTTCTTCATGCGTTAACGGAGAAAATTTAATGGCTCATAAATGCAATAGTTGTAATAAACCCTTGACTGTTGAGAAAGAACGTCGTTTTAATACCATTTGCTTTTACTCGCCTCGCTAATTACCATATTTTCAATAAAGCTTAACGCGCAGCGCAAAATGGGTATCGTTTTTGAAGGTTGTCATGAGGAAGATATAACGTTTCTGCCTACTTACAAGTATGATAACGGAACCCAGACTTATGATACTAGGTATGCTAATTCTCAGTTCGTTATTGTTCTTTGATATTTTAATTAAGCCGACATTATTTGAAGCGAGAAGCAAAGAATACCAGCATGGACGGATCGTATTTTGTACCGTGGCGCCAAGGTAAGACGTTGTTTGGTATGAAAACATTGCCAACGTCTATTACATTCTACGATTCTAGATTTCTCAAAATAGTTACGCGAGAACCGAGTTACTTCTCTCAGATCATAGGCCTGGTTAGTATGTCAAATAAGCAAAATGCTTGTTTATTCTATTTTTATACAAAAGCTAATACCTTAATTACGTTTAAAGTAATGGGCTCATTTGACGTTGAGGTAAGTAGTTTCTTCACTTGGTTATCATGATGTAATTTTTTTTAACTTCTTTTAAATCTGATACAGATCGTCAAGTACGATGAAGTGGCTAAGGAAAACATAATGCAAGAACTATATTCAGAAATGAAATATTCTTCCGGGTCTGTTCCGTCTGCTGGGCCGGCTGCGCCAAAACAGATCCTAGCTTCTCTTCCAGCTTATAATAATAACGGACACAATGATGAGCTGATAATAGATTGTGACGAATCTACAGCCGTATTAAATGATTGTAGGTACTAAAACGTGAAATTTCTTTTTAGCAAATTTAATAACTTAAACGTATGGAATTCAATTTAGTGCCACCTCCAAGTTCAGATACTTATCAATGGTGGAACGAATCTGCGTCATCTAGTTCACGTAAGTTAACTCGCAGATTAATACATGCAGTGGTTTCATTATACAAACTAACACAAATTGTTTGCAGTTGTTATTGATAAATCCAGACTTCCACCAAGAACATCAGAATCGACCAACCCATTTTACGAGTCAAGTCCAAAGGAGAAGAATCCTTTTGATGATGACACCTTACTCATAGACATATGAATGATGACAGTCGGTTATACACACATAGTAAATAGAATGGACCAGACATTGACTTGTTCATAGACAATAACCCTATTTGTATTTATTTATCTTTAACTTAGTTATCGTTTTTTTGTGTTCACCAAATCTTGTATTGTTAATTAATAAATTATCACGCTTTGTGTCGCCGCATTATTTCTATAGAGAATGCGAAGGTTGTCGTCTCGCCGATGTGAACAAACATTGAACCGGTTCATACAAAAACTTCTTCCTATATGCAACGATGACACAAATCAAGCACAGCAAGAATTGAAATGGCTCAAGCAGCACGTAATGAAAAGAACTCGAAATTTAACGATAAGGCCTGGAAGAGTCACGCCTCTGAGCGCAAAGGAAGGAAACATGCTGCGTCAACTGGTTTCCGACCGAGTTGATCACTCGAAGCCTTTGCAATACATATTGGGTACATACAATACAAACAAATCCATCTTTTCTTTAGTTTCTAACTGACGTTGTTGTTCCTTCTTTATCAGGTACACAACCGTTTTGTAACTTAGAAATTATCACAAGACCCCCCGTGTTAATTCCACGGTAAATACTTCTATAGAAATTAGTAATATATCTATCATACTGGTCACATCAATAGCTAAATGCTCAACTCTCCAGCTGGGAAACTGAAGAATGGACTACGCGTGTGACATCTCTCCTTTACTCTCGTCTCCACAACCTAGCAAAGCCAATTCATATTCTTGACGTTTGTACTGGTAGTGGATGTATCGCTTTGTCACTCGCTCATAATATGCCAGCAAATACTTGTTTCGTTCGGGGCATTGACATATCCTCGCAAGCTCTCACCCTCGCTAATTTAAATCTCCAGACTTTTCGGTCTAATAATCTTATAAAGAACGATATCACCTTTTCCAAAGTTGATATAATGAATGACAACGAGATTGCAGGTTTTGTTCAAAACGATCAACCAGCATTTGACTTGATCCTATCAAATCCACCATATATATCTCGAGAACAATACGAAAAGTTGGGTGATGAAGTAAAACTATGGGAAGACGAGATAGCATTGATAGCTGATGACAATGGAACTGCTTTTCATTCTCGAATTATCAATCTTGCGGCAAATGGCTTACTGAAAAGACTAAACGGGTGCAGTGTAGTGCCGCGATTGGTGATGGAATTTGGAGCGGACCAGCAGGGAGCGACTATAATGAGGGAGATGGAAAGAAGCAAATTCACTTCGATAGAAGTGTGGAAAGATGGTGTTGGGAGAGATCGTTGTGTGGTCGGCAGTATCAGTCAATAACGCGAATATTTGAAGAAGCATAATTTACAGTAGGATGCAAAAGTATCCCATCACTTCTAATTCGGGACACGAATGAGTAAACGCTTTGAAAACAAGTGAAACTCGATAGGGGGCAGAGCCAACTTATCCAGATTTTTGCTTTACCAAATTTCGCACTAAGCCGAATTTATATATATATTTGCACAAATTTTCGACTTACAATTCAACAGCATAAACTTTGGTAAAACGAAAGAATACTTGTTTGCTGTAACGTATTGTCTCAATTATTCTCTTTAATTTTCTTAAGTTAGATAAGAAAGTAATATCAACGTCGAGTTCGTTGTCACAATCTTGACTAACATATAAAAGCAAAGAATTGCTCGAGAGCTGATTTATGAGAAATAGATTCGGCTATTGGAAAGTCCTCCGATAATTATCCTATTGTTGCGATAATCGACTCAGTTGTCGGCATATCATGTACAGAGACGGAATCTTCCAAATTAACAAATTCTGCCACTTCCATTCTAGCGTCTTGAGGATCAATAGGAAATTGATTAACAAGTTCAATTAACTCTGTATTCGTTGATAAATTAACACCTTCAGTTTCGACGACTGATACTATTAGGTAGGATACCCGTTTTTTGCCAAGCGTGTGTTATTGTCTCGGTGGTTACTTGGTCCCATGCGATTCCAATAAATTCGATAGCTTCACGAATATCGGTTTGAGGAATGGCCGAAAGAGACCGGTTTTGAGCAATAGCATTATCATACTTTTGAATTTTATCAATACAATAAAGTTTTCTATATTGGCTTTTGAAACTACAAGTAATGCCGGCGTCACAGGGCTGAAGATGTGCCGTACAATTAGGAGGTAAAAAAGCCAGTGATTGAAAATTGAAGTTTGCATCCATGTTGTCGAATTCCGATAATAATGAACTGCCAGAGTGTCTTTGTCAATTCCATAGAGCTTACGGTAAACATTAGCGTAACATTAGCGTAACGCGATCTTTTGCCTTCTTCCATCCTATTACAGGGCCGTGCGCTAGCGTTTTAACAGGATCCAGACGATAAAAAAGTGCAGTTTCATCACAATTGAAAATGTTTTCAACTGGATATGATTGAATAAGTTGTTGCAGTTCGTTACGAAAACGTGGCAAATCTTCCAGAGGCGCAGAATTACCTTTACCTTGACGAGCAAATTGGCTTAAGTTGTGACGTTTTTTGAAATTTGTAACCCACCCAGGAGAAGCTTTGAAGTCATTAACGCTCATCCTGTCTGCAAATTCTTGTGCTTTAACTTTCAATATTTCACCAGTAAGAACTTGTTCATGATGTATAGCATGTTCAATCCACAAAGCGAGTGCTGACTCAATGGTAGGAAACCCCACAGTTCTACGGCGCTTAGAATTAGCAAGCGGTGAGTTTTTATCTAAGGATAACCAAATTTCTTTTTCCGCAAGAATATCATGAACAGTGTTGGGTTTTATACCAAACTCGATTGCTAGTTTCCAATGTAAAATTAGGATGGTCTTGTGCTCTAATACAAAGAGCTTTTTTTTTCGAGGCCAGTCAGTGCTTTACGTTTTATTTTTTTCTCTGGTGTTTTATTTTTTTGAATTGTTTATTATGGACACAATATTTGAAGGACCACTTGTTGAACTTTCTCCATGATCGTTCATTCTGAAGGGTTAAGTTATTTGTAACAAGTACCTACGTGTTTAAACGAAAAGATTTTTCTACCTGACGTGACAACTTCGGTATATCGAGATAAAATTATTATTGTCGCTTGTTCGAAAACTTTTCAGCTTATCTTTCAACGTAAATTACTTTCGACTTACGCTATAATAAAAATTTGGTAAACCAGAAAAACTTCGGCTTAATGCAATTTCGGCTTAGCGTGGTTTCGTCTTAACGAGTTTCACTTGTATATAGTGTATAAAATTTCGGCTTGATGGATGCCTCCAGCAAAATTTACAAACATCCAATGCTTGCCTCTAAAACATATGAAAAACATATAAAAACATATAAAAACCCTACATCGCTTATTTCAACATATACTTCAAAAATCCATATCTCCACATGTTTCTAATTGATTCGCGTGATCTTTTTATTTCTTTAGATGTACGTGAATAATTTTTATAAGTATCATTATGCCGCACAATTGTAGTAACGATCATACAGTAATTATATGAATGCAATTTGATGGTGCAGAGTAACAAAATACACAAAATTTGGTTAGAGAAGTGTTATGAGTTTCTGAGCTCTTGTGGCTGAACCCCGAAATATAACTTTGGTGTTTAGAAATTTGCTGGAGGCATCCGATCAAGCTGAAAATTTACAAGTGATCAGGGTTTATTATACACTATATACAGGGAAATTTTCAAAGCGTTTACTCATTCGTGTCCCGAATTAGAAGTGGTGGGATACTTTTGCATCCTACTGTACATATGGTAATAGTAAAGCTTGGCAACTGAATTAGATATAATACCGTAATTGCAAATTTGTAATGACGTATATACACGTATAGTGTCTATGCATGGAATTGCAAGTGTCTACCCATGAATTAACGATATGTGACCGCGTAAACATATTTAAAGACATTATCCCCCAAACTCTTTTATCCAAACCGTAAACACCGCCGCCGCCGCCAAAACCACCACCAAAAAAGGGTTCATACAAAAGGAGGTCCTCAGCTTCGCAACCTATAAACGTAAGACCTTATTGGAACGGAAAAGTCGCGGCATGGTCTCAGAAATTGTGGTTACCCATTGTGACTGACTCTGCCACAACCTCCCATACTACAAAACTCATGGTTTTCGTCAACAAAGCGACCTCCGACGAGCACAAACTTCCCAAAATATCCCTGAAATCAAGCAAGGAAGAAGAGTCGCCCGACGAGAACCCTAAACAAGGGAAAAAGCGCAAGATCAGGACAACAGCAGCATGCAACAAACGACAACACTCCATCGTACGCTGCCAATAAAAGTATATCCAAATCACCCTCAAAAGCAGCTATTGAAACGGTGGGATGGGCTTGTCAAGATATGCCTATAATGCAGAGTTGATACCGCCATTTCCATACAAAGAATTCGCATACTAATACTGGTCCATCACGACGGGTTTGGCTAAAATCTCAACCCATTGAAAATTTTACGCGGATGTTCGTGTAGGAAAAGACGTTAATGAGCGTGAGGACAAGAGACTCCAAAGATCATGCGTATGTGGTTCACGCAAATTTGTGCGAACAGTCGTGTGTATTGGAATGCTCCTTCAAGGTACACACGGCAAGGCGCCTGCAAACATTATCGACGAAGCGATCGATGAAGCGTTGACTGCTAGAGACAAGATGATCAATCAAAATAGGATCAACCACGAATCAGCAAAGAAGTTCGTCTTTGTCATTTCGATCCCGAAAAGATTTGCGACAAGCAATGACAATTTGCGCGCAGAACTTTTCAAAATGCACGTGGAACCGATTCTACACCTTATTATAATTATCACTCTGGACGAAAACGCGATTTGTGGCCGCTTCATTTCGATAAAAAAAAAAAAGAAAAAGGCGTAATAATAAGTGGTCTGTTCCTCACAAAATAACGTCCGACTGTAAGCTTACATATTTCGCAAAACCAACGAGTGGAAAATTTCATGGGTTTACGAGACGCAGAAACAACTCCGCGAAACCCAAGCGGACATTCCATCGATCCTGGCGTTCGTACACCCTTCACCTGGTACTCTCCCATTAAAGGCGTAGGTAAAGTTGGCCAATACGACATTGGACGAATTATTCGCCTATGCAAGCATATGGTGGACAATCTCCTTTCTGTAAAGGACAAACTGGCTGCCTCTAGTTCGAAACGTAAGAAGAAACAGGCCTCGCGACTTGATAAGGCAATCTCTCGGATGCGACGAAAAGTCAAACACCTGCATAAAAAGAGTGTCGCATTTTTCGCAACCGGTTCGCAAAATGCTCTGCTGGGGCCACTATCAATTTTGCCAACGCCTGGAAGAATTAGGGGTCTGTTATTATCCAAAACGAGGCCTATACTTCCAAAACTTGCAGCTGGTTTTGGGAGCGTTCAAAAAATAGGAGGGTCCGAGGTGTACAAGTGCCCATCATCCCGCGTTTTTTAATTAGAGTGAACCGCAGCACGTTGTTCTAACCAATTATAGCAATGAGCTGCATTCCAGGGATACTATCTCTATCCTCATTCGAACATTCCCAATATCCTTTTCGTGTGTGTAATGTACAACTATGAACAACACACAATCGTTACATACTTTATCGCATTCTTGTATCTTAATTCACTCTACCACCTCTTCTCTATTCTGTCACCGCATTCTGCTCACTCCCATACTTTGCTCTCTCAGCTAACGCCAAACCCGCTATATTTTATATCCTTATTCTTATTAAAACACCCCATCTTGGCTTCCTCGATTAGCTGCCTTACCCGCTTGCTCATTGTCTACATCCAACTTGCACTCGTTCACCTCCCTCACCAATATCTATTACAACCAGTATTCGTAACACCTGGTTGTGTTATTTATACGACTTCTCACGTTTTTGCTATTTCACCATCACTGTATACTACCATAATACATTACCATTCTACTACATTACACTCCCCACTATCAGCCTTCTTCAAAACCAGAATATATTCTTAATATGGGCTCCTTATTATCACATTTGAGCAGAGGAAGCGGTGACGCCGCGATACCAGACTTAAATATCGATCTTGAAAGTAAGTCTATTTAATGTCATAACAGCTAGCCTAATCATACTTCTAATACATTCATATTACGTGTTTTGCCGCAGACGCAACCCCCACACCAGCAGAACTAGCTTTATATGGTCATGTATCTACCCTTCTTCGGCCAACGACTACACTATTAGATTCTCTACGGCGTTACGAAGGATGCGGAGATCTCATTCGAAAAGCGATATCTAATCCTACTCCTGAAAATGAAGAGGAAGCATGGCAGGCCGTTCAGCCGGCTGTTGATAAACTAAAACGCTACTTCGAATATTCTGCTTCGATGGGCAAGTATAATTTAATGCATCAGATATTATATACTTTTATGATTACGCATAATCTTTATTTATTTACTCTATTACACAGAGGATGCCCTTCCTGAGCTATTGAAAGCACTTTGTGAAGGCAATGTACGAAAAACGCTCGTAGAACATCAGGCTCTTACAAAACTTCTGGCAGACATTCTGGATTTCGCGTTCGAATTTGACTATCTAAAGGTACGAATCACCATCAATAAAATCAATATCGCGTACTTTTCACAAAATTATTGATAAGATGTTGGTCACGTCGCTCTATTTTTTCTTATTTTCGTTGTATCTGTCTTGGTCTTGCAGATGAAAACTCCTTCTATCCAAAATGATTTTTCGTATTATCGACGTACATTAAGTCGAGGAAAACTTGCAGCAGAGGTCAGTGACTATTAGTGTCTGCATGTTAATCGGATAATTGAAATAACCACCATTTATTTGCTCTCATCGTAGACGGACTTAAAGACCGCCATGATCGAAGATGAACTAGCCAACAGAATCTCGTTGTTCTATGCTTATCCAACCCCAATGTTGAAGACTGTAACAGACGTGACTGCTCTGTTTGTTGCAAAAGTAAGTCGTGTTGTGAGACTTTTCCTCGTGTCCTTATACATATTTATCACATTCCTACTTGCTATAGAATAATCTGGGTAGAGGTGTGTCAGAATGTTTATCAGGAGTGGCTGCTTCTTGCTATCACGCAGTCACAAAGAAAAGGTATAGTTATTGCGTGCCGGTTTCTTGCAGTGTGGTACGACGTCTTTGTATTATGCCTAATAATAATGCCCATAATAGAGCCCAAAAGCCAGAAACCATCGCATTCTGCTTAAGGGTGATGGTTGTATCTATCATTCTCTACGATCACATCGACCCACAAGGAGCATTTAATAAACAATCACCTATCAACGTGAGCATTTTGTGACTACTAGTAATGTTATGTGCTTTTGCTTTGTTAGAAGCTAATTGCATTCTCTTTCTGTTCTAGATAAAATCAACCGTTAAAGCCATCCAAACGCATGGCACGTCTGAGCTTTCTAATCTGATGTCTGCACTGCGATTTAACACCAAACATTTAAATGACGAATCTACACCAAAGAACATAAAGCAGCTTCTGAGCAGCCACTAACTTACCTAATTGCAATATTAAAAGACTTTCCAGCAAATATTTTCAGTCAATATAAATATACACACTTATATTCATATAAACGTCGCATATTTAACTACCGTCCGTATAATGTTCTTTGCCATACTGTATTGATTTTTAATACAAGTTATTCTTTATAGTGCGGATTTTTCTTCGTTTACTCCTTTGGTTAAATTAGTTCTGGTAATAACTTGAACAGTTGGTTGGTGGGCTGGGCCTGCTTGATAACTAGGTTGTATTAATATTCAATGTAGGTTTTCTGGGATAATTGGTTTTTGTATGGGCATTAATGGGCTCAGGCAGGAGGTCTGGTATTGCAGCTTATACTAAAGTGACGTTTGCACCTCCCTATTACTCTGAGCATGTAGATATAGCTGAAGGGGTATCGACTATCGACACGCTTCAGTTTTACAGGATAATATACTATATTAAAAAATTGGTTATTAACTCTCTACATGTTCAACTAGTACCCTAAATAAGAATAGCCCATCAGATAAATTGTTATTTGTATTTGTATCCGCATAATACACAAGATTTCTTGTCTGAGATAGAAGACGAAATCATTCAGTCGCTTACTGATCAAATGATCGTTAATTGTGCGCAGAAGATTGTATTGAAATTGAGCATATCGCTTGTTTCTAAAGTATTATCAATGATGACGAAATTATTGCAGCCGTCCAAGAGGCGCCTGAGAATGAAGATTAAGAGACTAAAAATGGAAAAGAGAATGACTTCAACGCAAACTCGCAAAGTCGGTCAGCCATGCATGACCGAATTTGGTAAACTTTCAAGATAATGATGACCAGTAAAAACCTTTAATTTTGAAACCCGCCGTTGTCCATACGCGTATTCTGAATTAGTCTGATAAATTATTTTGGGAAACTTTTTGGTACAACGAACGAATTAGAAGGTAGTCAAAGTTTTTAGCATCCGGATATTCGGTGTTTATTCATCAGCAGTATAATTTGTCGAAAAATCCGGGCGTCAATTCAGAAATTTATAGCCCTTTTTTTGACAATTCTCGAGCACAAGGCTAAAAGCTTCAAAACAAATTATTAAACGTCCTGACAAAGGAAATAAACACGTGCTTATTACTAATATCCTGGGCCGAAAGTTACGAAATTGTTCAATGATATCACATGAATTATGTTGTGTTGACATCATTCAAATGCAGTTTATTGGTGCACGAGATTATTGTTTTGAATTATCGTTATGATTTGGTCTAGAACATATTCATTGTAATCCATGTTCAGCCTTCTTAAATGATGGCATACCAACAATGTTAGTAATCACACGTATTAAAATCAAATGCTGCACGATTGAAGCTCGGTAAACCTGTTCGCAGGCATAAAAAATAATAATCTTCGCGCATCGTATGTCGTTGGTCTTCCGGATATATGGGCGCCAAGATTTTTTGAAACGAATTTTTGATGGAATTCTATAACTTTTGTGACTCGAAAGCTTCGTTCACTTGCCGGCACCTTTTTATTCGCTCATTATTATAATTAGTATGCAAGACCACGTAGTTGATCTCACCGGTTCTAATGAACATGCTACTAGCCATATTAATATATTTATAATAATTCATTATTCAATGATGTGACGTTCGATAATAAAAAAACATTTGTTACTAATCTATGTAGCAATTGTCATGAAGTTTCATGGCGATTAGTGATGAAATATGAAATAACAGTTGATTCCGCACAAAACGTCAATGTTATGCGTATAAGAATAAATCTCCCTCCATGCATCCTAATACTAACAACTGGTTAACGGGCAAGATGCTCAAGGATGTAATAGCTGACTTAATTGTTGAGCTTCTGAATTTGGATGAGTAGGCTTGAAACTAAAAAATAACAAGCAAATACTTAGTAAATTGCATTCAATAATGCGGAATACAACGGGTTTATACTCACATTCTCGTTTAACGGAGTAAACGTTATGGTGTTACTGTTGTTGATAGTGATGAGCTCATCCTTGTACATATTTAAAGCAACAATATCACTGTTGACTAAAAATATTAAAGATATCGATAAATAGTACTTATGACAATCTGTGCATATAAACTATCATCAATTAACACTTACGCCGTATAGTCTTAATTAAAGTCACCGTATCAGTATCCCAGATGCATATCACGTGGTCATCAGGTGCACATGTCACCAGATAATTATTTGCATAAAACCTCAACTGGTCCAGACAGAACATTGTAAGTCAGACTACTGCCAGGACTAAAACATCTCATTCAAATAAACAAATACTCACGTGAATAATGTCGGTATCTCCAGCCTTCCAGCTACCAACCAACATTCCTGTACGAGATTCGAGTAATGATACAACGCCGCTTGAAAACCCTACTGCTATCAAAGTTTCGGCCGGATTTGTACATATGACCTTTATGGTTCCTGCGAAAGTAACTACGGTTAACATGACATCCGATTACATTACAATTCCTGTTCATATATGTATTCACGTACCAACAAATGCCGCCGAACTCCTCCAAGTATGTAGAAGACAGTGATTGAAAGTATCAAAGAATCTACAAATTACAAATGTTCAGAGAACTGGCATTGAGGAGGCATAAATTCAATCATCAACACTCACGTGATTGTAGTATCAGAGAGCCCCCCAACAAGATAACGGGTTCGAAATATTGGTTTAATTGAAATATACGGTGTTCTCATATTACCGAATTGATGAAGAGTTCGTCCTGTCTCAGGATCCCATAACTACGTTGAAACAAACAGATTCAGTGAGTGAATACACGCAATGACGAATATTCTTCTCGGCAGTATATATGCAGATACGTGCATGAATTTGACCATCGCAGCTAGTAACAACGTCTCCCAATCCCGCACTGCCGCCGGCTCCAACAAAATAAACATCGATGATGCTATTCTTCTTATGGCTGTTATATGACAATAAACACTCTGAGAATGGCTCATTAGTTGAATTCTCGATCCCGTGATGGATATCCAAAGACCATAATTTCACGGTGCGGTCTCGTGAACCGGTCGCAATAACGCGCGCGTTTTCATTAGTGCCAATGCTACAGATTCTCGAAGAATGACCTATAAAATAAGAAGCAACGTCAAGTATATAAATCTGTCTAAAACTCAGAACGAATATTGTAGCAACCACACACCTAAATATGTACGTAATTTGAGATCATTGAACGTGAATTGCATGGAGTTCGACATCTCCTCTAATTTACATAAAACAACATCAGCATCAAACACATCTTCGAAATAATATAAGAAGCGGCTCACTAACCCGAATTTGTTGATAAGTATCTGTTCCAATTCCTAATATAATAACCTATAATGAGCAAAAATTTATAACTTATGGACAACATAAATACTGAGAGTGCTACCTTAAATCTTCCTCAGATGTGGATTTGGTCTTCCGTAGCAGATGCGACGACTTATGTTTCGGCCTTTAATGGGAATCAATAAATTATCATTAACAGCAAGTGAGTATACATGATTTTCGTACAGCAGTTTAGATAGCAAGACTATTTCAGCATTAATGATATATGATCACTACACATAATCTCAATCAATACGTTATGTAATACCTTTCAGACATTGAAGTGTTAGCCGAAGCTGCCGTCAAGACATTTTTCAGCGAGCCTACACTGAAGCTTCGAACAGGATGCTCGACGTCCTTGTCATTGCTCTCGAATAATTTCTTGTTATTATCATTGCCAAAAAGGGAAAATGTTCTATTGACACTAAATCCGGATGTAGTAACAATAGCTGTATCTTTATGCGCACTTGTAAGTGCAACTTTCTTATCATCAAACGCCACGCTTTTTCTTGATAGTAAAGAGTCCCTTACAACAGGTGAGGACGAGACGTGTACATTTCCTATATTTTTGCTATTCGTACTACTGTCTGATAAAGGTGATGCAACTCTCAAAGGTATAGTTTCCTCAGATTCAAAGTCATCATACATCATGTTCTCAATTATATCACTGTCGAAAATGGATTGTTAGAATAGCTTCAACCTTTTACTATGAATAAAACAGCAAATGCATACCTGACAGGAATGGCTCTACGCATAGACTCTTGCCCAACCAATATACAGAATTGCGAGTATGCATATACTGTCTGCTGTTTTTTTAAGTGCGATCAAATAGTGCCGACAAAAATTGCAAACGAATATTGTTATGAAGACGCTTAATCGTATAACAATACCTGCTGCCTTCTTGGCTCTTTCAAATGGGCATAATCCTCTTTACCAAAAGACGTTAAGGAACTTTTATGAAGGTTTTCGAACTCGGCGAAATACGTTCGTAGCATAGGAACTATCTAGTAAAGCCAAATTTTGATAAATCATTACGTACTAATAATATCACTGCAAACTTGTACTATAGATGTACTCACATGGTTTTCCCATTCTGCCTTGCCAATTATATGAGTAATGTGAAGGAGGAAATCTATGACTCTCTGGGAAACTATCAATCGATCTTTCGACGCCGAAACTGTTGTGGATGAGGTCTTGGCATCCCCATGGACAAGAAGTCGCTCAAGGATATTTGCAAACCCCGACTCCAATTCCAAAACAATCTTGCTTGCCGATATTTGCAGTGCAAGCTGTAAGGTAAATATTGTTAAAATATAAAATACTTGATCAAGTCACGGACAATTGCATAATAACCTTTTCCAAAAGTGTGATGTGATTACACAAAATTGAGCAATTCTTGGCATTGAGCTGGGTGCTATATGAATCAACTATTGTAATTATATGTGCGTATTGCAAGTGAGTAAATGTCTCCCCAAATTGATTACCTAATGAAACATAATAACAGTTAACATGCAATTCAATAAAAAAGATTGCTAGATGGATGAATACGTTACTTACATATTGCAATAATTGCTTGAATGGTATATAACAATACAGAACCCTCTTTAAGAATCAGTCTGTATACTTGTTTCATGACATGTTTAGATGTGAGAATTGGACCTATTAATGTACTATAAAGCAAAACTGTAATCATAAAAATCAAGTCCATTGTCATCACATCTTGCATAAAAGTGCACTTATCCTACCAGATATCGACTAGGGCGGAACTGGCCAGTCGCGCTACTGACGGGATAGATTGCTCACAGCCCGCATCAGTAGGCGATACTGGACTTAGAGTAAGCTCTAATTCGTTCAGGTATTTTGACTGAAATTCGGACGTCGGCGCAAGCGCAGCTACTGGTTGCCCATCAATAGTCAACGATTCCAGATACAATGGAAATAGTTGTTGCAAAAAATTTGGTATCCCAAAACGACACAAAAACTCTCCAATGATTAAAGGGTCGAATAAAGCCATTGGAATTGACGAGCGAGATGACTACATGCAGGTGAGCAAAATTGTTGACGAATACTCAAGATAATAATTCATGTAACAGCATGACAAGGCTCAAGATAGCAATATTCATACGTTACCTCGAACAAACTAATTATGGGTTTCAGAAGGTGGTCTTTTGTTTCATCTGGACCGAGTCTTCGCCCAAGTTTGGGGAATATATCCAATGCTTCCATTCTTGTATCGCTATGAACGAATAGGAGTACCAGACTAGGCAATATCATATTGAATGCCTGTATTGAGCAAATGAATAACCGTATTTAACACAGAATGAACTACATTTAAAATGGCAACGGTTGTCGTCAAATTCAAACCTCATCATTCAAGTCACAAATTTTATCCATAGACCGTTCTGCAAGTTTAAGCTTGTCTTTCCACTCACTAGTAAAATAACGAATGTTAAATCCACTCAAAGCAACATAAAATCGAAAAAAAATAAAATAAGCATCTTACTGTCGGTGAAAGCTTGTCAGAAAATCATAGACTTCAGGAATACAGTCTGGAATTGGGAGTGTAGTTCTGTTATCACATAACATAATGGCTGGCACAGACGCATAAAGGATGGCATCAACGGAAGGTCGCTCAGTCCAGTCTGGCGACAGCAATGCACTGATAACCTCTTTTACAGAAATTGGCACCTACAAAACCATTCCAGCTTTATTATACAGTTTGGGAAACCATCGATAGTAACAGATTTACTTACTTGTAGCGAAAATATATTGTCATCAGGGGGACCAGGTACAACGTCACCATCTTCGTAAACCGGCTGAGGAACAATTATTTGAGATAAAGTTGTGTTGGTTGGTGAAGTTTCATAGATACTCAGTAGTATTTTTCCAAGACTGTACATGTCCCACGCTCTCGCGTATGCGAACAAATTTTCTGAATCTGCCATTGGCAATATATTGTTCGGGCTAATTACTTCCACATTGTTTGTATGACTGTCAGCCGGATTCAGGTGACGGTACTTGGCAGCAAAAGAATGGGCAAGTTCAAAATGCGAGAGCTCTTCCGTGAACATGTTTTCTGACATATCCTCAGATAGTTGTATTGGAATTGAGTTCATCAGATTTATCAGATGTTCCACGCGTGTCAAGGCGTCTTTTGAATCAGGCAACGAAGCAGCCGGAATATCCCTATCCCGTACAATGGCCACATTCCCAAATTCATACAAAGATGAAGGTCTTGGAGACGTCGCTTGCTTCGACAATTTAGATCGTAAATTTACTGTAGGCTTCCCAATTACTTTTTCTGTAGTAGGGAGACTTGATATCAACACGTCAGAAACTTTATCGACAAATTGTTGTGTACCCATTGTCTTGTCAAAGAAAGTATCTCGTGGCAACAATCGCCTTTTGGAAGATATATAGTCGTATCTCTCAACAGAGCTTTTGGTCTCGGTTTGGCGCAAAAGAAATTCTCTGTATATTAAAATTGAGTGGTTATTTATATAAACGTAATTGATTTGTGGAGAAAAAAGAGAAAAAAAAAAATAGTTGCCTTCGTGTTTGATTCCAAGATACAGCTCGCTGAGGATGAGGATCAGAGAATAGTTGTGTTATGCCATGTTTCATAAAAGAATCTTGCCCATCCAAAAGAGGCAATGCAACGTTTTTTGCTTTTACGGCATCTTCGCCTAGTGATAGTCAGATGCATTCATTAACATAAAAGCATTTTTCCGATGCTGAAACTTGACTTGATCAACCTATTCACAAAGTAATTATTACCACTTAGCTTGCAACCAAAAGTCAAATCAACCCAATGATGTAACTGACTAGACACATAATCACTCTCCAGTGCCTCAGCATGCAGTTGAACAAATTCTTCTGGAGATGAGGCCCATCTTTAAGAAACATAATTTACGAGATTAATGCTATTATATTAATATGATTAAGCGTACGTTAATTCTCGTTAATACTTGCAATGGTAATTGAAGATCGGGCATGTCTGGATGAACTGATTTGAATATACTGGGATCTTTGTTTCCAAATAATAAAAGAGTGAGCAAATGCGCGTTCTTACAATGTCAAAATTCAAAATGTCATCTTCAGGCCAAACGCGAACCTGTATAGAATTCTGGGATGCATTCATCTGGAGTCCATTCGAACAATCTTTGAAGCGAAGAAGGATATTCGTTAGGTTCGTACTTTGTCCGGACGTACTGACACAATACCTAAGAAGCCATCATAGAAAAGTTCAGGCATGCGAATACCAAATGGATCTTTCACAACATGTAAATCGTGACGGAGTAGCTCTTTCGAACTCACTGGAATCGGTGTCTTCCGTGCAAGATAGACGTAGTATGTTATGTCTGAAAGAATGTCTGTAATATGATGTGGTACTGGGCCATCGAAGGTGAAGTCCAACTGTTCGTCACCTTGTGAATAATTACAACAGTATACACTTGTTAAGATGCTAATTCTTTGGCCTGCTTTCTTTAATCATCAGAAGACTCACCTTTGTTAAGGCGATATTTAGTTTTCGTAAAATCTCGCCAATTTTGTGAAATCGTTGGGCCAGTGAAATCAGTAACCCAGGGAAAAATTAAGTGAAAATTCGGATCTCCAATACGGCGTCCTTAAACAATGAACAACAATTAGAAATTTATGCAATATTGTGACTGAATTTTTTATATTTACCTGCCAACTGATTTAATGCCATAATATAGGAGAAGTTTGATATATCACCACGAACCCATTTCATAATCAGGCTCTCATCGGGTATCTCTTTAAAATATAAATATAATTCTGGAATCAATACTAGTACTCATGGAAAGCAAGAAAGTAGTGATTAAAGACCAAGCAATTGCTTTACGTAATACTCTTCAAGATTTAGAAAGTCAATGAAATTTCACTTATTTAATTCTTGGAAATAACAATTCTCAGACCTTTTGGTATATTTTGTAAATATAGTTCTTTATCCTGCTGGTTTTCATATGGTGTCATTGCTTGCTCACTTGTACTTGATTTATCCCCTATAGAAAGGCGTTCGGATAAATGGTCTCAAGTCATTGAATTTTAATCAAAAGCAACAATATCATTCATAGATACAATACCCACAGAAACCTCCATTTTCCTGACCTGAGCTGTTCACATTCAGACTAGTAACGGGAGATTGACGTAAATCTAATAGAGATGGCACACGGCATTCAAAGCCTGTCAATGAAACCCAAAGATTCTCATCCACAAGAATATTTGATAATTTAAGTCTTTAAAGTTGAAAAGTATGTTAGAAGGCAAACCGATGCATACCAAAGATACTGTACTGATATTATATTAAACATACCCTCCATGAACGACCCCCCGTTCGTGTAGACTTTTTACACCGCGTAGAAGTTGGTATACAATGAAGGCTTTCTTTACGTTAGAGTTAAGAACGCCAGAGCTGTATTTGAGTAAGTCTTGTAAAGTGGTGCCTTTGTAAGACGCAAGGAAATAATATGCTCGGCTAGATTCAATAACTGCAAATATATCGAGTATGTTGGGACTAGTTAAAGTGGCGTCGGTCGAAACGCTGGATTTGTGTAGGGAGAGCACATTATCTGTCGTCTCTTGAGCAATAACGCGAAAATACGCGCTATTTGGATATAATATGCTCAAAAATTGATCAACAAACACCTTCCAACAGAAATAATCGAAGGTGAATAGAGGAATTCCTAGTTGAACTAAAGGTAACATCCGATAAATTTGTTACATACTTCTTGTCGAGCCAATTGATAATTTTCAAAGTCGGCGTTATCCACATCTTGCGAATCCAAATCACAGAATAATGGCGAACACTCATCGTAAATCGCTTCAATATCGGAGAGGCTAGCCACTGATCGACCCTCTATTTGCTCTTTAATAAACATCCGTATTGACGTAGTTGTCTCATCATTAGAATCAAGCGAAAATGTTTCTCCATCTTGGCGGTACCTATTATAGAGCTGTGGCCTACTGCGAATCGCATAAAACGTAAACCGACAGTCTAATAAATGGGCCATATTAACACTTAATTTTCACTTTTACTCACTTCTTGTTGTCGGAAGAGGCTCTCTTTAACAAGACGTTGATTGAGATGTTAGTAGTCAGTGCTTGGCGATCTTCCCCAAATTCTTCTGATCCGTCAAAGTCAAGTGGGTAACGTGTGGTAGAATATCGTGGAAGGCTTATTTTTTCGCCGAATCGGGCCTGCTTCAATGTTTGAAGCCAATGCTTGTGAACCTATCGTTTGAAGATAAAAAAAAGGTTATGTTCGAAGTTCCAACAGAATTCTTTGCTAAACAGCATTCTTCAACTGGTACTTGCCACGCAACAGGCACCAGTGCCCGTTTGCTCTTCTGCTGAAAAGCAAGGAAAAGCAACATCTATGTGCAAGTCCTCGGAAATGATATCTGCAAGTTCTTTCCTGGTCAGTTTATCGATAGAAACCATCTTCACGCTGCGCGATTACCATTTGGCACAGGACATAAAAAATCCGAATGTTGTGTGACATTTCTTAATTGTTTTAAATAAAAATGTAATTAACTTAAAATGTCCATAGTAATAGTAATAGTAATAGTAATAGTAATAGTAATAGTAATAGTAATAGTAATAGTAATAGCCCCAAATTTTATTAAATAGAATCACTTTGTGGCACTTTATTATTGCCAATGAGTATTGATTCTCTTGAAGATAGAGTATCTTTCCTAAGGAGGGTCACTGTCATTGTTTCGCTCTCAGTATCGAATTAATGAAAGCCAGTTTCAAAGCGAGATTGAAAGAATAAATTAGTTCGAAAGGAAGAGTAACTGGAGTTGACAGACAGTGAGATTATGTATAGAAGTAACGTTAGCATTCTATGGTCAAACCTCGTTATACCAAATTGCGTTTTACCCGGTGAAATAAAATGGTTTGCCTCCCAAATGCGCAGGTTAGAATAATTTGATATGGATGCTGCGTAAAAACGAACGAATCGATCCGAAGCATGCCTGCTGTCTTGCTTGGTTTTCCTTATCGAGAATACTCACGTCTTATATAACCGCCTAGCAAACAACACGTGTTTGTGAAATGCCAGTGACTTTTATGCTCAACGGAGTGGATTGACCGATATAGCGCATTGCTCAATAAACAAGAAAATACCACTCATGTTTCCGAAATCGCTTTTTGGGCATAGCTTGAAGAACAGGAGGAATGGAAACGCGTTGGGAATAATATTGTAGATATTTCTGCGCACAGTATATACGTAGACGGCCAGCTAAGGTGGATATCACTTTTGTGTCATGGTAAATTCAGTTGTTTATCGTTCGGATTCCTCCCCGAGACTTTATATTTTTTTGCTTTATCCTACCGAATTGGGCTGTCCTTCGATTCTAACCACAGTATTACCCTGTAATACTATTATGGTGACACTGCTTGCGGTCGTACAACAGCAACATACTATATTTCCAAGACGTCATTTTCGACTAATCCCGTTTGCTTGCATGCAACAATTCCTTCTTGACAATATTCAGCAATCGGGCGTAATTAAACGACTGTCAATTTTCTGCCATACTCTATGTAGCATACTTGTATTCCATTGATACTAAATATACAGTTATATTACCTAATAACAGGCTTTAAAGTGTATATCAAATATAATACTTAAAAGTATGAAATTCTCACACATTATCCAGCATAACAATCCGAAGGTGTCACGAGAGGCCTGCGGGGAAAGTTAGCATATTTGTCCCACGCCAAGCATCTGCGTATGTGAAGTCCGTCCTTCGATGCGATATACATCGAAATTTAACATCGAAATCCCTGCACAGCACTTTCGATTTGCATGCATGCTGCCAAGTTTAGCAAGTATCGATCGATCTGTGTAAGTTGAAGCACGTTATTTATTAATTCAATCTTATTTTTCGTCTGCTCCAAAAAACTTGAATTTATTTATCACTCTTGTCATAATGATAATCGGTCCTCTCTTACTGCTTGCAGATTACTACATCAAATGTCAAGCTACTATGAGAGCGGACGATGGGTCGGTTACCTTGAATATGTCTAATAAGAAACGCAACATCTCAAATTATCTACCAATAAGTCCGTAATATTTATAGTAATCCCCAAAAACTGAACACAATGGAAGGAGGCTTAGAAGACACTAACTAGTTTAAGATTAAACCTACTGCTGCGTTTTACTTTCTATTAAAAACCTCTAATATAACGTCTCGTTGACATATTGATCATAACAACCGTCTTACTGGTTTACAATTAGAATTCATAGCGGGGACGTAACAATACAAATGGGAAACAATAAACACTGCCTGTTTCAACTTTATTGTCCTGCTCAATATGGTTCGGAATTTCTAACTTGCTTTTACCCTAATAGCCTGTACTGTTAAGAAATCATTAAAGTCGGTTGACGTACGCGATAAAAGCCCTAGGTGTCGAAGATGATGGTCCGCGAAAGTGTGTGTTCTGTACGACGTTCCACCTTTTCGCTAACAATGTTTAAACTAAAGACATCGATTTACTTCGTTTTTACTACAACAAATATAAAGGAAGTTGGTCGCGAATTGCAAAGAGTTACCAGGAAGAGACAATAGAGCAATCGGTGGGGTTTACTTGATTGTCGGAACTATTTTTTGTTGTAGTTCTGAAATTTATTGTTTTGATTTATATTCGGATGGATTAATCATGCCAACCCGGAACGTAAGAACATCATATATCTCTACCTGTTAAATCAAGTATTCTTGTTGTACGCATATTAGTATACAAATAATTACAACTTTATTGCTTTCTTTACAGTTACGAAAGCACCTTTGGAAAAATGGGAAATAGACGTTTTGAAAGAGAATTATAAATACTACGGTAATCATTGGAATCTACTTATTAAAGATTTAGAGGGCAGGACCCCTTTGCAAGCCAAAAAATAAATTTACGGTATGAAAAAACCTTCAGAGTAAGTAAATCGTCGAGCATTTATTTAATCAGTAAAACTGATATCTATATGCCAGACTTATTTTACACAAGCAATTGATCAAGGAAAGAATGTCAATTTATCGAATAGTGAATAAGAATCACTCTACGGAACCAAACATTCCAGAATCTTTTATGGAATACTTTATCGAGAACAACAATGCTTGCAGTCCCGTGACTTTCGGATGATCTCCATGTCTACTTTTTATGGATATGGCAATGTAATGTTTATATCGTCCGATGAGGTTATCCGAGTTAGAAAGGGTTTAGGAGATACAAATGGAGGTCTTTCGCAGACGAGTGGAGGCCAGAATCGTCTTGCGCAGATGATTAACTTGATGCTAGGCCTGTGGGGATGGCTAATGCTATAATCGGAATTAATATTAATATCAATTTGTTTAACCCTCTAATACTGTAATATCATCGTAAGCATCAAGACGATTTTGACATAAAACGCGTTGATATTGTGCCTACAGAAAAATACGATAAGAATTAATTTAATTGCAGTTTATAAAGTAAAATTCATATAGTAATAGAAAATTTACTTTGAGATTAACCGATTCCTTGATCAATGGGTTGAAGGCAAGACGTTGTGTTGAGCGGTAAAAAGTGTAGATAAATGTTAGAAAGATTTTGAATGGTTTCTGTACTATGCGACGAAGCGTTGTCTGAGTATGCCTCATCTGTTTATTAAATCGTTGCAAAAAATGATTAAAGATGCTTCTCTGCATCCACACTTTTTATTCCATAGGAAGAGTGGATTTGTCGATGCCACGAAGTGCACGCGGTGTTTCGTATTTATGGAGGTAATTTTTCATCACCGGTAGCATTACAAGTAATCAAGAAAGTAATTCGATCTTTTGGTTTTTTCTTTCCCAAAACAGGAGCGTGGGCAAGTGTCTTGTTTGGCTCAAGCCGCCAGTAAAGAGCTAATTAATCACAATTGAAAATATTTTTGAGTTCATAATTCTGAAGAAGTGGTTTGAAGTTCATCTCGGTAACGTGGAACCGGTTGCGCCGATATGAAGAGAGAGAGTTTCTCCTTTTAAAGTTCGTAATCCAACCTGCAGACGCATTAATATTAAATCCAGTAATTCCAAACCGATCGACAAACTCTTTTGAAGGATGTGGTAACTCTATTCCAGATTGCACGTTCAATATTAGGATAACTAACCTTTCTCTGACGTTTAATTTGAGCCATGGCAGAATCATCAAGATTCAACCGGAATTCAGAACGTTTGAGTATGTCTGACACAGATTGCTCACTTCTTCGCTAATGGGTTTATATGCAATTGGATTATTGGCTGATCGGATTTTTTTATTAGACTCCGTTAACTTTATTACACGTGATATCCGCATATTTTTAATATAACTGGCATATAGAACTTTTTTGGTTAGCATCCGTTTAGGCTTTATCGGGAGAAACAACAAACCTCTTTTGCCGCCTTGCGGGAAATCAGCATGCAAAGTATTTGATAGTGTCCAAGACGTTTAAAATTTGGTTTCAATATTTGTACGATTTATTTTTGCGCTTGCATACACTGTTCTATTTGTACTGTAGATGTCCTTTACTATAGTAACGATATACTACTGTAACATTAAGAGCGAGCTAACTAAGTGCAATCAATAAAGGCAATGCTATTGTTATCACAAAACGTGCATATGTGGTTGATACAGTGTCTGGATATTATTGGTTCTTAAATGTGTATGCAATAATCCTCGTAATTTATTACAGATACTTTATAAAAGATGTATAATGCTATAACCGCAATCTTACATATGCGTGCATAAGGTTTTGAAGATTTTTAATGATTGTTAATAAGTTATTTGAATTGCATAATGATTTTACTGTATGTCTATAGAAATTGTCATAAAATACATTGTCTATGAAGAGTATAGTTATCAATACATAAGACATTCCCCGTAAGTCTAAAATACAACGACCTGGAGTAAGCACATTTGTTCACAATGACTTCCTCTCATGATAACATTGCCCTATGGTCCCTATCTTTAAAATGTTCAACCCATGCATCAAGCTTGTTACCCCCAGCACAGAACCTAATCTCTACATTTCGTAATTTTTTGAAGTCATTCTTCAGCAGATCATTCACAAATGCATCCCGAAATCCCGCACACTCTTGAAATTTTAGTTCTTCCAGGTTGGTAAACGATGAAAGTGCTGGGACATCCACAAGAGCGATATTATAGAATTCAAGTGATCGTATCGTTTTAGAGTGTCTTAAAAGCGCTTTCATTGACTCGCGAAGCTTCTTCGTTACATGCAATTGATTCTGATCACTGCCACTTTTGTAATCTCTGAGCAAACGACCCCTAAAAACGAAATGCGTCAAATTTTGCTGAGATGATATTAGATCGGTGAGAGTTGGTAAATCTGTACAAGCTGACTCGCTCGCAATTTTGACATCGATTCTTTCCTTCAATGATGTAAAATAGTAATTAAGAGCAAACATATTAGCCGCCTTATTCTCTAGTTACCGTAAACACATATTTGAATCAATGATCCCGATTGTCCCCTATGCTATGTGCTTACCAGATGCCCGCAACTTTCACTAAGATATCGAAGAACTTTGTGTTTAGCTGTACTGAAGCGCACTCGTACGTCTCTCGTTGTACTTATTAATTTTCTTAGATCTTTGTCAAATAACATCAATATTTCCTCCTCGACAAAATCATTGCATCTGTAATCATCTAACGTAAGCGTAAGAACATTTGCCGAATATCTGATAAATAATCTCAATATCGATTTTACAATCTGCGGTACCACTAACAACGGCGGCCGCTTTGCGCTCACTTGGTCGGTCAGTGGCCACCACTGCTTAGCCCAATATCGTGCCGCCCTTATTAGCGCACATATATCTAAATGCTTCATATATATAGGGTATGCGAATAAAGTTGACGATTTTGAAACTGGCGGAACAGAATCCAATGCGTTTCTCTCCTCATCATCCATCATTTGTATTAGTGTTCGTAGTTTGATAGGACGCATCCAGATATTAAAAGGTTGCCTCCAACATAACGGTACACTATTTTCACACCAGTGTCTATTTACTAGTAGACATGGACGCAGGTAGTTTTCCCCCATGTGATGGTCTTCTAATACATATTCGAAGATATTGTGAAGAATGAGAGTCGGGAGAGTTGCTGCCATGTATATCCGATATATTTTCGGTGATGATGTTAATAAGCTGAGTGCCTGCTCAAATAATATATATGCATACTAAATGCCTATAATAGGAATGATCATCTCAAAATCAATCAATTAATTTCTAGAACTTGTACCTTAATATTAACTCAGCTTAGCGAATAGTGAAACATGAATAGATTGCAAGAGAATATTAAAAGTCTTGAGGCCAGTGCACAAGCTTGCCTTGAGGTAACCTACGTCGTCGTAAAGAGTCCCAAGATATCCTACTAAATGCAATTGCTCAAACAATTTCCTTTAAAAAGGCGGCGGACGATCAAACCCAATTCTACGAACGATGTCATGACTTTACGACCTCCATAAACAAACACCTAGCGGCAGCACAGCCTGATCAAGTTCAAGTATTAACTTACTTAAAGCAGACTTTATTTCCTACTCAACCTCCGGCACGTCTGGTAATTAGCAGATTCAGATAAATAATATTAAGACAATTCATAGTCAACTCTCTTATTTCGTGTGCTTAGACCAAGGTCGTTCAGAATATATCATGGGATCTATTCAGACTGGTGATACCATTTGTGGAAAACGAAGCAGATACATCTAAAATTGCACAAGAAATTATCCGTAGCATTGCTGACTTTGGAAGGCCCCGAGAGATTTATATGGCAGGCATTGAGATTTTAACACTTCTTGAATGGAATGGGAAAGAGCAGCAGGCGCTTAAACGAGTAGAAGTTGTATCAAAAGTTTTAATGATAGGTAAGTGACTTGTAGAGGGGAGGCACCACCCTCTCCGCGTTACTGTCATCTATTTTTAAAATTCAGTATTGATTTATACAAGCGTATACACACACATGGACATATACATCGAACGTTGTGCATGAAAAGAATAGTTTTTTCGCGTATAGAACGTCGATCTCTGATAAAATTCCTTCCTGACGCTGCTAAGGCCTACATACGTATTTGGCGATGCTTGAAGATTGTAGACTCCGTTCTAAAAGATCGCATGCTGTCACACCTTATCTTGGTTTCGGAATGGTTTACTTCTCTGTTTAATTTTATTGACTGCAAGGTACGTCTCTAAATATATGTAGGCTACCTTTTTGTAACTTTAAGTTTGCTATTTCTCACACTCATTCTTAGACCGATCTCACGCTTTCATCCGCTCCATCGGATGATGTAAACTATGAGTATTATATTGCAACATATTATTTAATACATGCAATAGAGTGCTACGTTGATGCATACAGCATTCCAATGTCGGAGATGTACTATGAAAGATTTCATCCAAAGTATTATCGGATACCAGGAAAGGCAAAAGCGGGTGATTCAATAAGAAGTGAGGACAAGGAGAATCTTGAAAAGCTCATAGTGAGTCACGTTCGCTGATTTTTCCGGTATAAAATTTATTATCAATAGCGTTTAAACTCTGGTTTCCAAATTTTAACAGAGACTGGCGATCAATAATTATGTTACTACCAATCAACTATTGAATTATTATGTTTATCATAACGATGTTAGTGAAGGTATGTATGTCGACATGTCTCGTGCATCTCTGGAATCGGTGTATATATATTCACCTACATCAGTCGACTATAGACATGAAAGACGAGAACGATCAGAAAGTGGCAAAGTTTTCTACCACAGAGCTTTCTATATCGGGCGACATCATCTTGTCGTACTTTGCGTGTGCTATCTTCTGTCAAACACTTCTGTCATCGAAGATAATGCTGCCACTGACAATATCGCCGTTATGGATCCTGAAGAAATTGATGCCGATAGTTGTGAACAGATTACCAAAGTATGTTTTACGTAGTTTAAATTTGATTGATTATTTTCGTTGATCTAATGTAACAAGCGAATACCTCAAGCTCTACATTATCTTGTTCTCACTAGTGAGGAAAAAGAAAGACTAGTTGCGGACAGGACATTATTGGTTCTCATATTTCTTGTTGAGAGAATTGAAGAGAACTCGATTACCAATGAATATCTTGATCAGGAGTTGAGTGGCGCCGATGTCCAGGCATCAATTCTGATAAAGGTGCGTTCACCGATTCAAGTTGTGGTTAATATAGAACAACGATGAGATTTCATAAAGTGCTGACTATGGTGATAATTGCAAGGTTATAGCCTCCTTTGCATCTACTTCGTCAAACGAGTCACTTCGCTTCATAGCGTTCCAGCTTCTTTCTCGGGTAATTGCCATATGCACGGATGATGCAAAGGTGTTTCTTCTGAATGAACTTCTAAATACTTGCCCATTCGAGACAATGAGGTGTGCAACAATCGGACTCGTGAAGGAAATTGTTGCAAACAGCTTAGAGCGAGCTTCTCAAGTGAAGGTTGGGGAGAAGGTAAAAAAAAAAAAAAAAGGAAAAAGAAAATATGATAATTCTTCAAAACTACTTAGAGAATGGTTATGAATCGCTGCCTTATTTAAACAAATAGCCATACTCTTCGATTTTCGCAAGTACGTATATGGTCGAAACCTTCTTTCCACGTATTTTACGCTTTGATCCTCCGACCGTAATTCGAGATGAATCCGATTTCATGGAGAAGTATAGCTATATCATTCATGGTCTTAATTTCTATCTTTTCGTCTTGATGAGAGATGTTCAGAACCTTGTAAGCTATGAACCATATTTCTTTTTTGCGTCATTGCTCTACCAGATATGTTATTTACATTGGTTTTTATAGACTGGTGTTTGGGATGACATTCAAATACGCGATACGAACAAAGAATTCCTAGATCCCTTGGAGAAAAAGGTTCGAGAGTGGGTCAAATCGCTTGAAGAAAAGTCGAGAAAATTTGAAGAAACATTAACAGGTTGCGTTGCGCGTATTTATCAATCATATGATCAAATTGATCATCTCATCGAATACCCCATTCGTGATTCGTAGATATTTGTCAAGTGGATTTGCAGTCGCAGCTGGATGCATGTTCTGAAACATCTGAAGTTAAATTAACACCTGTACAGGAGTATCAGGTGAATTGTGTTACCAGCGTTTACTTGTTCATCAGTGAGATTTATCGTTATTAACTGTTTCTGCGCGCAGGCGTTACACAATAAGGTGAACAATCTGTATATTCTGGAAAATGTCTTGGGTAAGATTCGCGATGTTCTGAAGAAGCACAGATGATTGGTGAACTTACTGCATTCGCAAATGCATCTACTTGCCTTCCAACATTGAAAAATGTCAATAAAAAAAGCTCACATTCCTGACACAATTACCGGTTTGTTTGGACTTGTTTTTTACTTGCGCATAATGGCTAATTAATGAACTAAGGATTTTTAAATTCCCCCCAGCTAGACGCAAAAAAAAAAAAAGCCTGCATAAGCCATATTAGTCTTCTTACATGAACCGACAAGTCACCTGCATAAGACTAGCCATTTTGAGCGTTATCTTTGTTTATAACCAAGTACAACATCATTAGATACTCGCAAACGCTCTTACGCTTTTAAATTCTGAAAGCATCTATGAATCTTCAACGACCGTTCCCTGACAACGTTCTATTCTGCATCTTCCAACAATTTCCCGATAATGATGCAGGCGAAGATGCGCTATGTTCATGTACCCTTGTTAACAGACAATGGTTTTCAATTGCTGCAAAGTTCTACTGGCTAAGACCGTTCAGTTCGACCTCAAAGACAAAACGAGGAATGGTCAGTGTCAGGGCATTTTTGAGTCTATTGAATAGTGTCGAAAGGCGTGAGATTTCGGTCAAGCTACCAGAAAAATGGATAAACCCTACTATAGCGTATCCGTCGTATGTAAAGGATCTTGATATCTGTGGTCTTATCCATGATGTATACGAATGGCTATGGTTGCAGTTAGACAAACTATTGCAACCGAAGAAAAGAGTAATGGTCATCTATTCAGCTGTACATGCTATATTAAAAATGCTTAAAAGATACTCTGTCAATCTGAACACTTTGATAATACATAAGACAGATTTCCTACACGAAGTCGATGATATTTTACAAGTTCTACTTGATCCAGAAATTCACGAATTAGTCTTGCCCATTCGATCATTGAGGGTCTATGTAAATGCTTATTGGAATATGAAAGTTGCAACGCCAATACTTTCTCTCGTCAACGATTGTAAATTCATTGTAAGTATGGATGAGAGCATATTGTTTTACGCGCAAAGACGATATTCTAACAATTAATTTTGCAGACTCAAGTCAGCATATCCATTGAACGTACAAAACATACCCCTCGCCCGCTCACAAAGTTTATTCGAACACATCCTGGCTTCGAAGTTCTTCGACTTCGATTATTCTTCATTTACGAAGCACGAGCATTTAAGCAAATAGTCTCGACTATTGCATTCCACTCCAAGACATTGCGACATTTAGAATTGGCGTGGATTGACTTTTGTGGTTCAGGACCACTGCATATGATTGCTGCTTGTCAACAACTGGAAATTTTGAAGATAATGATGTGTAGGAAGATTTCTGTTAAAGCGGCTGAGCCGTTGATTAATGCAAAGTTTCCGTGTTTGAAGAGCGTTGAGGTTTCCGGGTGCGATTGTCCAGAGCTTGAACAATGGGCACAAACTGTTAATGAAAGGAACTGTAAGGGTTTACTTTAATATTGATAACCTTATGTTAGTTGTAAATTATAAAATTAGAGAGTTCAAATTGTATGATACGAAAATATAGACAGTGTAATAAATTTCTTTTTTTTTGGTGACAACGAAGAGAAGTGGCATGTACTTGCTGAGAAGCCACATCAAAAAAGATAACTTTCTAGATTAGGAGTAAAAGGTATTTATGCGGTTCGACTAGCTTGTTTCTTACTCATTAACGCCTCATTCTCATCTGTTAGCGTATATTTTTTTTCTTATACAGTATATTATACTGTATTCGCGATACCTTTTCAACGTTGAGCGGCTGAATTTTGGCCAAACAATCTAATTAGTACGCATAGATGGCTGGAAGAATAAGTGAGAAGGACGATATTCCCAAAAGTACGCCTGATGGGTTAATTATGTGATTTAGTTAGGCAGACTATAAAATTCTTGAGTTGGAATTAATCTAAAATTTATATTATTTATGTCGATTTCCTGTTTTCAAATGACTATATACAGGCTGGAATTTCTTTCAAGTTTTCGAGCTTCAGTTCTACGCAGTCTAAAACCATATTGCCAATAATAATCGAATGATACATACAGACACTATCATATTTGAACTTTGTAATATTTGTATATGCAAAAAATTTATTATTTTAGACAATGACAAGGTACATTATCTAATCACGGCTCCTAAATGCAACGCCTGTCAATACTAAAACGTCGAAATTACAATTAGCGTTATAGTTAGTAAATGTAGAGAGCGTATTTCAAATATATTACAGTTTGTCTCAAAGACCATGAATGAGTGCAACACTACAAGATATTAACATATTCAAGTGTATTGGGCGTAATTGAAGCATCTCAATGATAAGCAAACACTTGATACAATCACCATGTTTATGACAATAAATCATGGCTCCGCGTCGTTCAGTATCAGATAAGTGAGTCACATGATAAATCTTCCTCCGCAGTCATGATCGATACTAATTTTAGCAACAAAATGTTGCGACAGCTATAATTAATCTATAATTAATTGTTCTTCTAGAAATAGTTAAAAGTGCATTGCGACGCTCGAAGATATATAAGTAGCTCATATTCCGTCGCCAAATCTTCATGTTATAATGTTATAATGTTGTCATGTTAATAAAAGTAAAATATTACTGATCTTAGTAGTATTCTTCCGCAATCCTTTATTATAAATATGCAAATTTATTTTCTATCGTCGAAATAATTGATTATTAGGCCGGACACGCCAATAAACGGCTCACTTAAGCTAACGAAATAGCATTGATTTGATCAAGCTAGTAAGCTGACCGTGAATCAATTTACGTGAATAACGGGACGAGAGTTCATAATTAATTATCGAGACAAATATTGTTTAATTAGTTTAGTAAGACAAGTGACCGATACCCGACGTCGAAAAACAAATCGAAGATAGCCCTGTTTAAATTTAAAAATAGTATTCTTCGACTTCGATTCTTTAGTAGAATAATTGTTGTTGTTATTTTATTAGAGGTACCCTTATTTGTATTTACGAGTGTTTGAAACTCGGATAGGGAGTGAGAAGCGCGCATAATT